TTTCCATATAAGGAAGTTATTAAAGATCAAACGTTCGATGGGACACCCTGTATGTAGTGTGTTAGTCAGTTTCAATACAGCCCCACCGATATAACTTTCCCGTTCTCCCATTTGACAATGTTTTATGCTTTTACCATATGAAGCCTACACACATGTAGACTAGACCCGATCCATAAATCAAATTTTTGTTTTTCGTTGTTCCCGTCTATATTCTATGTGTACTCTATGATGTTTTAATTTTTTCTTTCAGCAGTCGTTGCCAGCCGATCCTCCCAATGGGGTTCAGGCAGCACCGGCTCCAACATTGGAAGCTCCCCAGCAAGAGCAAGCAGAGCCACAGCCTCCACAAGTGAGCGCACAACCAGCGCTTTCTGTGGAACAAAATTTCGCGTCTCGGCCCCAGCGCGAGCCATCCGAACCATTAATGGGTCATCCTGGGCATGTACAGCAAACAATAAAAGCGCCTGTTGATGAAGAGATTTGGTTTGACGTGGGGATCATCAAAGGAACGTCCTGTGTTGTTACCCATTACTTTCTACATGGAGATCAATCATTGGAAAGTACTTATGGGGTGAGTTCAGTCTTTCTGCACTGGAATATCTTTTATATAACTTAATTGTGATCTCAGAATGATTTTGATGTTGGGATGCATGCTGGGCAAGTCAACTTCTTGCGAAAGGCAGAGCTGGAACCCGGTACTGCTTATCGGTTTCGCGTTGCGGGTATAAACTCCATAGGACGCGGCCCATGGAGTGAGGTCTCCGCTTTCAAGGTATTTGTTTTTTTTTTCAACTTCGTTTTCTTTGCATGTCAACAAAACTCTGGACTTGGTTCTAGACTTGCCTTCCCGGTTTTCCTGGAGCGCCTTCGTCTATCAAGATCACCAAAGGACAAGAGGGTGCTCAGCTTACATGGGAGCCTCCGCAGAATGTTGCAGGTAAACATAAGACGATCTTTGGTGTTTCATTGGCTTTGTGGAATTTATAATTAGATGTGGATTTTTCAGGACGCATTTCCGAGTACAGTGTTTACTTGGCTGTGCGCAATAATTCTGGAGCTGCTGATAATCAGCTCGCTTTCATGAGGTATTCGATCTCTTCTACTGTCTTTTGTTCGCGCAGAAACCTTATCTTATTCAGGGTGTACGTGGGTGTCGAACCCGAATGTATTGTGAATCAAACGAATCTTGCTGCTGCATATGTGGACCAGTCTACAAAACCAGCCATAATCTTCAGGATAGCAGCCAGAAATGAGAAGGTAGTCTCTTGTTGCACGGTGTTAATCCTTCTGTGCGAATGTAATTTTTACATTTGCCAGTTTTGTTAGGCATTCAAGCGTTCCTGCAAGTTACTGAGCTTTGTGTATGCTGCTTCACATTCAAACGCAAACTTCTTTTGTTACTAAAAATGTGCACTCTTTTAGAAGTTCTCGTCTTACAACTCGTTTTTGCTCTACCGCTTTTCACTTTGAGCGAATGCCTGTTTGACAAAACAAAGCAAATACGAAGATAGCAGCTTGCCAGCTACTTTGTAATTTAAATCAATAGGTAATCACTTGCAAAGTTGGCATGGAATTTACCCTCTGATTCAACGGGATTGGCAGCTGGAAGGCGGAGCTTCAAGGCCTAATTAAGGTTCGAGAATGATCAGAGAGTAGGTTCGCGAGGAAGACGCAAACTGCGTC